ACCCAAATATTTTAATAAAATTTTTGGATTCAATATTAATACTAGTACAAGAGATAGCAAAATCACCAAGGTTTTTCCACCAGGACCAAAAATTATACTCTCTGTCTTTCCCAAGTGTAGGGACAATTTATTGTCAGTTAGGGAACGACCATTTAACTTCAAGGGGGGGGGGTTATGGTTTTTTCCTTATAAAAATATTCTGATCCCCAAATTGATGATTTACCCCATACATGTACCTTATAGTGTTAAATTTTGAAAAAAAAATAATTTGATTGATAGCGTCAAAAAACTTTAAAAAAAAAAAATATTTGTGCTTTGTGCGAGAAAAAAAATTTCGGACTCGGACAAAAAACCATAACCCCCCAACTTGAAGTTAAATGGTTGCTCCCTTAACCACTCATGGCATGACTCCAGCATTTTGGATAATTTATTAGAGATGATCCCAGGGTCTATATGGGAAAATAAAATTGCAGTATCATCTGCATATATATCAAAACTTTACAATCTGATTCAATGCTAGTATGAACATCATTGACATAGATCAAAAACAATAGTGGACCCAGTAAGCTGCCTTGAGGGACACCACATGTGATATTACACACTTATGAAGTTACCCCATTTACACTTACAACCTGTTTTCTGTTTGTCAAATAGGACTAAAACCAAGATATAGATCTAACCCCAATAACTTCTAATTCTTTACATAGTATCTTATGATCTACTGTGTCAAACACCTTCTGTAGGTCTAATAGGAACATGCCTGTTAAAAGACCTTTGTCTGTTTGAGTTTTAATGTGATCTATTAAGTGAATGAGACAAGAATCAGTTGAATAAGAACTTCTAAATCCTGAATGAAACTCAAATAATAAATTATTTGAAATCAAGACTTTTTCAAGTTGCTTATAGGCAGCTTTTTCTAGAATTTTAGAAACAATACTTAAAATGCTAACAGGCCTGTAATTTTCAGGCTAGAGTGTGTCATTTTTCTTAAATAGGGGCTTGACCTTAGCCATTTTTAGATCGTCAGGGACCGTACCTTCAGAGATAGATAAATTTATTAAGAAAAAAATCAGCAATTTTTCCATTTGTAAAGGGCCATAACTCTAGAACGGTAAAAATGACGCCACCAAAATTCAAACTTGATCTGTTTTTTGTGGTAAAAAGCATTGTGTATAAGTTTCATAATATTTGGCTGAGGTATACTAAAGTTAGAAAATGGTAACCAATTTTGGGTTGTACTGACTACGTACAGATGGACAAGGGTAAAACTTAATGCCCCTCCGCTACGGCGGGGGCATGAAAAGTAAAGGCTTAAATTTTTATATAGAAACATAGAGTGTCTAAATTTTCAATCTAGGAAAACATTTTTGTCATTTTGATTATGCATGTTCATGCTGGTATGAAGGTATATCAAAACAAATGAAGAATAAACTTCAAGTGGCACAACATAAGATTATGAGATTTATTCTGCAATTACATCCTAGAAAGAGTGTGAGATATATTGAATTTGAAATTTTTATTTTTAAATATTAGTAATAGAGTCAAACAACTGAGACTCAATCTTTAACAATATATGGCTAAATTATTTACATACTAATTTTGTTAGAAATGGAACATCTTTCAACACAAGATCTAGTAACATGAATTTAATGTGCCTTTTATAGCATATCATACAATATTGATTTAACTCATGGTTGAAGCCTTAACTTTTTTTTACACAAAATCAATTTGATGTGCACTTTCAAAAAATGCAAAGAAAAATAATCATGACGTGCTTTATGAGATATTTTCAGTTTGCAATTTTTGCAATGTTTAATTTTTTTGCAATTTCTGATGAGTAGCATTCAAAAAGTGTCATCATGTTATAATATGCCAAAAGATGGTCAAAGTCCCATAACTCCAGCAAATTTTATAAAGTGATCATTTGTAAAATACAAATGATAATCCATTGATCAGATAAACAGAAAAACACATTTTCAAAATATTTCTATATAATGTTAACTACTTGTACCAAAACAACCATTTATCAGTTAAATGTCTTTTGCTTTTGTTACTGTCTATTGACCGTCCAATGTTAATAAAATTCATTTTTGACATACAAGCAAGATGAACTGTGAGCTATTGCTAACTACTGATACCCCTTCTATAAGTATTTTTTAAACAGGGTAGCATGCCCACATGAAGCTTGATGCCAAATTTAAGGAAGTTCTGATTTATTGTGCTCCTGAAAAAAATGCAATATAAATTTCATACATGGCCATTAAATGTAATAATATACGAGTATTCTGGTAAACAAAGTTAATGAGCGATGAATGTTAAAATACATCACACATTATAGCATGCATAACATCAAGCTTGATATCAACTTTCAGAAAGCTCTGATTCATAGTTTCTAAGAATGTGACAAACATTTTCATGGGATGGATAGATACATAATCTGTCATTCAGAAAGGGGTATGAAAACTTTAACCACAGACTCAACCTTAATGTTGACAACAATGATGACACAAAGATGGAACAGTCAGGATTCTACTTCATCAAAATTATCTCCCCATTATGCCACCTAATTTTTGTAATCGTAAAAATGGAAGCCATTGTAGTGATGACGCGCTGTCAATATAGCTCTTGAAAACCGATAAATTTATCCACATAGCATCATTACCATCCTTATATGCCTGTTGTATTTTAAAAGACAAATGTATCTACTAGCTATTGAGCATCATTTAATGTACTTTTTTATGCATTTGGTCAACTTCAAACTATTGTCTGATCTGTTGTCGGGGGGAATTTTCGAAAGTTCAAAAATTTTCAAAAAAATTCTAATTAAATATTTAATGGAAGGGTAGTCTAAAAATTTTCAGAGGTTGAAGACTAATTACCCTAGATAACACACACAAAAAATGAAGTTTTTTTTTAATTTATGCAGTTTTAAGATCCACTTGAAAAGTCTGTCGTCAAGTACTTTTAATAAAAATTTGTTATTCAAACACACCTACTCTGCATGTTGTTATGACTCAATAGAAAGGTATTTCACTTGACCCATATATTTCATTTTTTAGTACTATAAATTTTCAATGTTATTATATCAACCCAGAGCCTAAATATATAAAAGTAATAGAATCTGAAGCGAGATGATGTATCAAATATTTTTCTTTTATATATGTTTTCAAAACAGAATAGTCAACTCAAAAACACGCCTGAACATAAAAAGGTGTACTCGACTTTCTCTTTTCGATGAAATAATTGCCCATTTTGGTTTTTTTTCCCAAAAAACTGTTGTTGGGGTCAGAGATGCAAATTAATGCTTAAAAAAGATCAATCTGTTAGCTTTCTTTGGAATTTTTTCGGCAGAATTTATGCTTATGCACAAAAAAAAGATCCACATGTATTTGCACCTACCACAATCGACTGTTTTGAGAAAATTTGTCTATAATTTAAAAGTTTACAAATATCTCGAAGCTCCATACCATAATTTAAGTAAAAACACCATGCATAAAATTAGGCACATTTGTTAAACTTTTAAATCTCATAGAAACAGATGTAAACAATTCAAATTTACCAATTTGGCCTTTTTTACCTTCTTTAACATAGAGTTCCATATCTTTTGTTTAATATCAACTGGATTTTCGCCTGGGATTGTTGAATCAATGTCTCACCTCAAAGGGCATTTTTTTCTTGGTGTGAACATATAAAACATCGTCCTTTTAAATTATAATTTTCAACTCAATTTTGTTGAAATACCATAAATTGGGATATTTTTATAGTTTTTTTTTTACAATTGAGTTGTGATCCAATTTTGGTGTGTTAAATATTAGCACTTTTTGCCAATATTTGCATTTTGATTTCAAGTGGAATACATTGTTCTTTGTCAGTTGTCTGTGACAGGTTCAGACAAAACACAAGTGTGATAAAAAGAGAAAAACATTAAACTTAAACAATTAAATCAGATCAAAATTAATTGCAAAAAATTGACCTGGTGAGATTAGTTGAAGTTTACATTTGATTGATTACCACTGTAAGTTACAATTATATTGATTTGGTAAATAAGTAAGAGTGGACATTTATTACACTGTGTTTACACCATTTGATAGTTCATACTTAAATAATTAGTGTGATTGTTGTTTCTCTCATTAAATTAAAGCAAATATTACATGTTTAGTATCTTTTTAATTATGATTATAGATAAACTTTCATTCATATTTTAGGTCAATGTATTTTTTGGTGACTTTAACTTTGGAACTTTCATCTTGGGCACCAAATAAATCAAAATATGACTACAGCAAAAATATCAGAATTATTGGATCTATATATACTATATTGCAATTTTCCAGACAAAAAGTAATACTAACATTTACATCGCCAGAAAATGAGAATGAATCACAACAAAAAAATAAGCAAATAAACTTGTAACCAACAATTTTTTAAAAACTTCTGTTATATTTGAAATATAAAGCAGCAAATTGTAGGTGATGAATATCATTGTATATTCTGATGTAGCTGCCTTTAGTTACATTATACTGATATAACAAGAGTATAGTGGCATCAGGTCAATGAAGTATAACTTTTAATTCCTTTTGTAGCAAATGAGATACCTTTCAGTTCAACTCTTAATATCTTATGAAATATATGTCATGAGCAAAAATTTATGAATACAATCTCAAACATCTCTTTTAAAATATGCAAACCATTCTTAAAATCTGCTATTTATGATGACAATAGAAGATTAAGATTTCAACTTCTTACCTTAGACAAAAAAGACATTTACTGTTATGTGGAAGAAGGAATAAAGTGCCAATCAGATGCCAAGTGAAAATTTGACTCCAAAATTATGTCCAAATTACTGTAATATTATGTAGCTTTATCAAATTAATAATAATTTATGTAAAAATTTCCATTGAAAAACATCAAAGAAATACCACAACTTTACTTCTGTGATGTCTTGTTTAAATTAGATTTTTGGTTTTAGTAGGTAATGAAAAAGTGAAAAGTCGAACAATGCGCACAAAATAATAAAACACTGAAATTTATTATGAGATGTACAAATCATTGTGCAATGCTTGCAAAAAATATATATGAAAATGAAAAGGCTATATGTAAAAGCTTTTAAGTGTTTTCTGTCTTATTTCCTGGTAATCCACTTTTGAATAGACTATAGGCTTAATCCATGTCACTGGTTCTGTATCATGTATAGGATAATAAATTTATTTCATAACATCCATCAACCTAAAAAAAAAAAGAAACAAGCTATGTTTAATCCCGCAACATTCTTTATGAGCCTGTCCTAAGTCAGGAAGGAGCCTGTAGTTCAGTGGTTGTCAATGGTTCATACATAATGTCATATTTGTTTTTCGTTAATTGTTTTGTTAAAAATTAAGCTGTTAGTTTTCTCATTTGAATTGTTTCATATTTTTCATGTCGGGGCCTTTTATAGCCTACTATTCAGTATGGGGTTTTCTCATTGTTGAAGGCCGTACCGTAGCCTTTAACTTCTAACATCCACTTTATTTGAACTTTGGTGGAAAGTTGTCTCATTGGCAATCATACCACATCTCCTTATTTATATATATATTTATTACAATATTTCAAAGGATAAAAACATCACCTAAAAGCTAAACTATTTCATTTTCAGGGAGATTTATATTAAATTTGACTCAGTTTAATATTCTTTAACAGAGAACTGTTGAGGAATAATCTTAAACAGACAAATGGTTACCACAGTTATATTTAGCACCACTAACAGACAAAGGGTAACCATAGTTATATTTAGCACCACTTATAGACAAAGGGTAACCATAGTTATATTTAGCACCACTAACAGACAAAGGGTAACCATAGTTATATTTAGCACCACTAACAGACAAAGGGTAACCATAGTTATATTTAGCACCACTAACAGACAAAGGGTAACCATAGTTATATTTAGCACCACTAACAGACAAAGGGTAACCATAGTTATATTTAGCACCACTAACAGACAAAGGGTAACCATAGTTATATTTAGCACCACTAACAGACAAAGGGTAACCATAGTTATATTTAGCAACACTAACAGACAAATGGTTACCACAGTTATATTTAGCACCACTTATAGACAAAGGGTAACCATAGTTATATTTAGCAACACTAACAGACAAAGGGTAACCATAGTTATATTTAGCACCACTAACAGACAAAGGGTAACCATAGTTATATTTAGCACCACTAACAGACAAAGGGTAACCATAGTTATATTTAGCACCACTAACAGACAAAGGGTAACCATAGTTATATTTAGCACCACTAACAGACAAAGGGTAACCATAGTTATATTTAGCACCACTTATAGACAAAGGGTAACCATAGTTATATTTAGCAACACTAACAGACAAAGGGTAACCATAGTTATATTTAGCACCACTAACAGACAAAGGGTAACCATAGTTATATTTAGCACCACTAACAGGCAAAGGGTAACCATAGTTATATTTAGCACCACTAACAGGCAAAGGGTAACCATAGTTATATTTAGCACCACTAACAGGCAAAGGGTAACCATAGTTATATTTAGCACCACTAACAGACAAAGGGTAACCATAGTTATATTTAGCACCACTAACAGACAAAGGGTAACCATAGTTATATTTAGCACCACTAACAGACAAAGGGTAACCATAGTTATATTTAGCAACACTAACAGGCAAAGGGTAACCATAGTTATATTTAGCACCACTAACAGGCAAAGGGTAACCATAGTTATATTTAGCAACACTAACAAAGGGTAACCATAGTTATATTTAGCACCACTAACAGACAAAGGGTAACCATAGTTATATTTAGCAACACTAACAGACAAAGGGTAACCATAGTTATATTTAGCACCACTTACAGGCAAAGGGTAACCATAGTTATATTTAGCAACACTAACAGGCAAAGGGTAACCATAGTTATATTTAGCAACACTAACAGGCAAAGGGTAACCATAGTTATATTTAGCAACACTAACAGGCAAAGGGTAACCGGAGTTATATCTAGCAACACAGACAAGAAAAAAAATGATAAGTTTCAAATGTACAAATAGAGAATAAAGATTATTGAAAACATAAATTTAATCCAACCAACAGCAGCACATTTTATTTTGAAGAGCATAGATTTAACATTTTGTTTTAATCAGGAAATTGGAAAAAATAATGACATATGTCTAATTTTAAGGAAAAGTTTGGGCTAGATTTAACCTTTTCCTTTACTTGACATTTAAGTATGAACAGTAATGATGATGATATTGACTTAAATGTTAACATATCATTTAGAAACAATTTACTACTTCTGCAACATTCTTAATATTATTAAAGAGTTGCGCCATGAGTGCATGATACACCCGTTGCCCTTTCAGCTCGTCTTTATGCCTTTATGCTTTAAATGAATTTATATGATCAAATACAAATACTGTGAGCACTGCTGAAACCCCCCCCCCAATATCTTTAATAGATATAAACCAGTCACCAAAGTTTCATGAAAACTGCTCAAAGTGTTTTTGAGTTATTGTCCGAAAACTGGAAAATCCCCCCTTTTTATGAATAAAATCCTATATCTCCAAAACGTAAAATCAGAAATTTTCGAAAATAGAAAGAGAACTTATGTCAATATGAATAAATTATTTACCAAAGTTTCATGAAAATTGCTCAAAGCATTTTTGAGTTATAGTCAGAAAACTGGACAATCCCCCATTTTTTTCTGAATAAAATCCCATAACTTTGAAACGTAAAATCTAAAATTTATAAAAATCAAAGGCGAACTTACGTCAATAGATATAAACAATTCATCAAAGTTTCATGAAAATTGGTGAAAGCTTTTTTGAGTTATTTTTGCAGTGTTGACGAAGGACAGACAAACAATGGTATACCATAATACATCCTGTCTTTAAAGACAGGATTATAAAAACCAAACTTAAAAAAAAAAATGTAGCCGGTTGATGGTACATATGAACTATTGAAAACCAGTCTCATTGGTATAGATGAATAAAATGTTTTTTCCCCTTAAAAATGTACAGAAAATACATCAATAATACCTCATATCTTCCTAATGCTCTTTCTGTCTGCTTGGCACCTACTTCTTCTGCCAATGCCCAAAGATGCTGTAGACTTGATGATATTGCTTCTAAGTTAGGTACACTCTATAAACATAAAACGATGTGTGAGAATACTTGTAGTAACTTTACAAGAAATAGATTTTTATAAATAATAATCAACTCTAATATATGCTTTCCCTTTTGTATAAGTTGTCAGTAGGTCATATATTCTATTTGTTGTTTATAAAAGTAAATTGGTTCCTCAAATTTATACTTCAAATTTTGAAATTTAAAAAGATAAAGAGGTCAATGTTTTCTGGATCTAAATCTGTTATATTTGATTTGGTTGAAATTAAATTCAAACCACTTCATATAAGTTTTAAATGTTTTAGATACATGCATAGTGGACCATGAACTAAGGGACTTGTTACCTTCTTCTTATGTAAAGATGTTAGAGCCTGCTTAGTTTTATCTGCATACTTCAAGCATAATAGATGCAGCTCTGTTATTCTGACAGAATTTGCAGTTGATGTGCATGTGAATGCTGATGGTACTAAAATAGTTCCCTTCTATTGCAGAATGCAAGACTCAAAATGTAAGAATTCTAAATTCTATGGTTCATGAAACTAGTAACAGAAGTATGTTAAATCAAACAAAATATACAGAAAGCAGAAAAAAATCCATCTTGTCGCATTTCTGTTTTCCTTTTTTTGATTTTTCTCTATTAAAAGTATCTATTTTTACATCTCAATCGAAAAGTCCAACCAATTGGAGTTGAAGTCTCTAGAATGTGAAAAAAGTGAAGACAAGAATTTTGAGTTAATTACTTTTTGAAACAGCACATGCTGGAAAGTGAAGCATGAATGATATTTCAAAAAATAAATTTTCATTTTTTTAGCATAATAAATCATTGATAAGTTACAGAGTTTGTGAGAAATGGATTGCAATTTAAATTCTTTAAAAGTAGAAAATATAAGATATGAAACAGTACAGACATAACACACTAAAATTCATGAGGGAATATTAAAAGAACCGAAAAAAAAATCATGGAATGTGACCTTAATAGGTGAAAGTTCATATGACCGTAGTATAATCTCCCTTTGAAATAGATACAGAAAAGGATATAATAACCTATGGTTGTGGTATGACATTGATCTGTGAAATGTCTATAAAACCTGGCAACTTAAAATTTATTTTATGGAAGGAGTATGTTTAATCATTCTGTGGATGAAGGTGATTTAGAATTTAGAATTTTCCATTGGCACATAATTATAAATAACTTGGAATTACAATAATCTGATTATCTTAATATAATATGTGGATTATTCAAGCTGGGAAACCTTGACCAAATTCCATTAAGAAATTAAATTTTAAGAAGTTAACATACTTTTTTAACAGGTTAAATGTATAGTATAGTCCTGAGTAATGGCCATCTTGAATTTTTAATCAGCACACAAATTACATAAAAAACCACAATCTTATCAAGAATTTACTGAGATTCAATCAGTTATCAATAGAGCTCAGATGAAAAATAGTTTTTTATTTCAGTGAGATTTCATCCTTTTAAAGAAACAATTTCATTGGACAAGCACTTTTGTAAATGTTGAGTTCAATTATCAGAAGCTGGATTAAAATCTTTGGTGGAACCAACATATGAATATTCCTATCATGTTTAGGTCTAATTTGTCCTTTTGTTTCTTAAGACATATCAATAACATAAACATGCTGTATATACAAATTATGGGTGTAAAATGACAACAATACATAACACAGCCCTATAGGTACGTGTAGACAGTAATACAACTTTAAAGCTACAAAAACTTTAAGAAATTGCAGAAATGTGAAGATCATCAAGCATGTGACTTCAAACAAACTAACAGTGGTTGTACTAAAAGTAACAATCAATTTGGTGCACAAAAAGCATGCAAAATAGAAAATGATAACATTTATAAATTATTGCACAAACTGTAAGAATATATTTCAGGCATTATCAAAAGTTTTATACACAAATCATAAAAATATATCAAAGACTACAAAATGTTTGAAGCAGAGATCACAACTTCCTACGGACTGCTCTCCATTTGCAAGACCATGTTTTGGTATATGAAACCCAACAATCATTCTAATAAAAAAATTAAATTGGAGATGCACAATACCATTAGGGATTAAGATCCTCTGAAAGTTTCACTGATAGAGGAGAAGTTGTTAATACAAAATGCAAATGGGCAAACAAACACAACAATCATTCAAATACCTCTGTTTCAGTAAAGGCAAGGATATAATAATGGCAAAACTACTTACAGGTACTTAAAAGTTAAAAAAATGCATGCAATATTTACTTGAGGCTCTACTTTAGAACTTGTGAAGGATTATCTAGGGTTGCTAATTACGGTATACTATTACTATGTTCTGCTGAGAATTCATATTGATTTGGAAACAGATTGAAAGGTCTTATACCATAGATTTTTTAATACATGTATATATGAATACTGGTACATTGTAAGGCAAAAATTATTGGTAATGGTTTCAATATGTTAAATTATTTTGCCTCTTTCAACTTTTTAAACATGTATTTTAATTAGGTTTTGATCTATTGGGCAGGTTTTCCACTAACTTTTTTAATATTAAATCAAAACATGGTGGTGCTCATTTTCCAAATTCTGCTTTTTTTGTATTTCGTAATTTTTTCCCTCATCCCATTTTTTACTCCCTATATCCCACATCCAAAAAGCGTGTCATCCCCCTGAAACATATTTCATGTGGAAAGTTTGACAAAATGTCAGCATTTTTTGTCAATTTTAAGTACTTTCTTTGAACTAAATGCTGTTCTTGAATGGATCCCTGAAAATCGTCATGTCCATAGATAATTAAAAAGTAATATTTTTACACAAAAAAATCAAAACTAAGAAATAAACTTTTAAAGAAACAGACAAAAACTATAATTTGTTCCTTAAATTGTTGGTTTAAAAACAAAGATATAAAACTGATTTACTTATATATGAAAAATTACATTTAAAACATAAGATATGAAAGTTAAAAGGCTTGGAATATGCAGGCAAATGGAACAAACTTGTCCTATACAAACTCTCATATTCACAAATTTTTAAGTAAAATTCACCCTTAACTGTCCATAAGACTTTGCTATTCTGATCTTTTCTGTGCATTCACTACACATTTTGTAAAACCTTTTGCTAAAAATAACAAACGTATATTATAAAAAACTTTAAAAAAAAATTAGTCTTGAACATTATAATTACTAAAATGAACACTTCTATAAGGAATACAGGGAAGCAATCAAAATGATAATAAAGCCTTGTATTGATTGGTCAATTAGTGCAGCCTCTACCTTTACATACTATACATCTTACCGCCAAACAAGGAGAACGCTCAGATCTTAATTTGTCACAAAAAGAGTCATTATCAAGGTCATTCTGTAAATTTAAAATTGATGTTAATAACATATTTTAAAAACCAGAATCTTTCTGACTGCAACAAATGTACTGTGTATTGAAATTTATAATCTAAAAATTTCAATTTTTTTTTTTAAGAAAGGTAATAATCTGTTTATGTAGACAAGAGTTACCATTATAAATTACAATGATTACTAAAAACTCAGACTTCAGTATCATAATAATAATTTTGGTTCCAAAGAACCAGGAGTCATGCTAGACTGCATATGAAAACACATTGAAAAAGAGTTATGCATAGACAGAGAGGAGTTCCAGATTGGAATTTGAACATGCAAAGAAACATTAAAGCATCAAATTGGAATTTAAAACTTACATCAGATTTTTTGGATTTTCCTGAATCTTCTATCAGCCAGGATGGTAGTGCTGGTGTTTTATTCATCTACAACAAAGGAAAACATATTTCTCAAACCTGTTTGTAGGGAGCATAGCATAAGATATTGATATAGAATTGTAATCTAATTTGTATTTGAGTGATTGATTGGTGTTTAAGGCCACTTTCAGCACAACAGGTTTATTTTGTGGCAGTCATTTTTTGTTGGTGGGGGAAGCTAAAGTGACCAGAGAGAACCATAAACGTCAGTGGGAAAACTGACAATCCTAGTCAACTAAGATTGGAGTCAAGGGTCTCTCTTTGATGAAGCTTTATGGTAGAGTAATATTTATAATGAAATACAAAGAAATATTTGTTTAATTAGGTCTTAAAATAAATTTGAATCAAAGATAGGAAAGAAGTTTCAAGTGTTAACAAATCTATTTAATGTTAAACAAAATATTTTTAAAAATTCATGAGGGAGATATCTCTTTCCATCAATTAAAAAAATGAGAATATCACATTTGTTCAGTATATAACCTATTGACTATTCTTTACTCAAATGAAAGTCTCACAAAATAAACTTGTACAGTATAAAACATTACCTCTGCTGATCTGTATAACTTCAATTCTTCAATTCTAAAATCTTTCCAAACAGGTGATGGTTGTTGTAATATTACACGTAATTGTGTTATATTGCTTAGTTCATTCATAAACTGCAGACAAAATCAAAATATGATTAACCATAGGAACAAACATTTCACAAGCATTCTCTTAAATAGCAAATACACATTAAAAACATATTAATTTTATGTGCATGTCTCACTCTTTTTGATAAATTTTACATCCTTAACAATGATGTAAATACATATACAATGCATATAAATCTAAGTTTTTTCCAAAATACATTGTCCAATTTTCACAAAACAATTATATGATTTTTTTTAACAAAACTTAACTTTTCCGAAATTAATCAACCAATTTTGACTTAAAATAACATGCACAACATCTGTGAAAAATTTCGTTTGTGTCATACCCATACTTTTAGAGTTTTGCACTAACACAAGTTGTTGACAGACAAATGGACAAAGTAACAAGTGAAAACAAGGGACTGTTAATCAGTTTATAACTTTTGACGGACAGCTGTGATTCAAGAAATTAAATGAGTTAACTGTTAGATTGGTTATCTCAAGGAAACTGACTTAGTTAATTCTAGTTGTATCATTTTGCTTTATCTGGATATGAATATTATAATTCAACCATATGAATATTATAATTCAACCATATGAATATTATAATTCAACCATATGAATATTATAATTCAGCCATATGAATATTCAGGATTTGCAGGAATTCAAGATAACGCAATAACAATACATGAAAATCACTTATATATTACATGTTTCTTGCCAAGACAGAAGTAATCTTGAGAACCTTCTTCCATGTGTGGGTTTGGCATCAGCCTAAATCTTCTGACACAAGTTTTCCATTTAGCATCACCTAAAAGATAAATCAAAAAGATACAATATCATTACACTTTCTGTTTGAATGTTCTTTGATGATTAAATTCTTTTTTTCTTGCACATATTTAATATAAATTATTCCCATTGCCTGATAGTCAGTGAGTCTGTTGTTAATAGTTAGCATTTGATCCATCAATCAATAGTATGTTCATGTGAGTAGATGGAGCATTGCCTGATAGTCAGTGAGTCTGTCGTTAATAGTTAGCATTTGATCCATCAATCAATAGTATGTTCATGTGAGTAGATGGAGCATTGCCTGATAGTCAGTGAGTCTGTTGTTAATAGTAAGCATTTGATCCATCAATCAATAGTATGTTCATGTGAGTAGATGGAGCATTGCCTGATAGTCAGTGAGTCTGTTGTTAATAGTTAGCATTTGATCCATCAATCAATAGTATGTTCATGTGAGTAGATGGAGCATTGCCTGATAGTCAGTGAGTCTGTTGTTAATAGTTAGCATTTGGTCCATCAATCAATAGTATGTTCATGTGAGTAGATGGAGCATTGCCTGATAATCAGTGAATCTGTTGTTAATAGTTAGCATTTGAACCATCAATCAATAGTATGTTCATGTGAGTAGATGGAGCTTAGTGTAAGTGTTGTGTGCATCATCAAAGAAAAAATTGCCCTATAATCTGAAGTGAATGTCTGCTTGGGAAAACAAGTTGAAATGTACACTATTGCTCACTATTGATACCACCTATAAGTATTATGTAAACAGAAAGTTGATAAGTGATGGATGCATCACAGGGTAAAGCATGATTACATGAAGCTTGATAACAAATTTCAGGAAGCTCTGATTCTTAGATTCTGTGAAAAATGCAACAAAAATTTCTTACACTATTATGTGTAAGAATATATAAGTGTTCAGTGAACAGGCAGTTGATGAGCAATGAATGTGATTGATTGATTGATTGATTGATTGATTGTTGGTGTTCATCACCACTTTCAGAGCTAATAGCTATATTGTGGTGGTCAGTTTTTATTGGTAGAATAAGCCAGAGTTTACACAAAGAGAACCACAACCTTCTGCAGGAAAACTGACAATCCAATTCAATAAAGATTGGAGTCAAACACACCTGCCAAGTGCATGGTTCAAACTCGCAACCTCAGTGTGATAGGCTAGTGATACAGTAGATGAACTACTTAGCTATGCCACCAAGGCCCGGCAATGAATGTGAAAATGCATCACACGGTATAGCATGATACTAAATTTCAGGAAGCTGTGATTTGTATTTTTTGAGAAAACGCTACAAAAGTTTCATGGGACAACAGACAAATGGAAACATAGATGGCTGATTAATATGCTCTTTTAAATAATTAATATTTTGAGATTATTTTTATACTGGTTTATTAACAAATTGACAGCCAGTCTGATAATAAGAAAAAATTAAAAAATTCAGATATATATCTGGACTTAAACAATTTCAGCTAAATCAAGCAGCAAATGCAAATTCTGCTTTGCCATTTAAGTAAAATCACTAAATCAAGCAGCAAATTCTACTTTGCCATTTCAGTAAAAACACTAAATCAAGCAGCAAATTCAACTTTGCCATCTTAGTAAAAACACTAAATCAAGCAGCAAATTCTGCTTTGCCATTTTAGTAAAAACACTAAATCAAGCAGCAAATTCTGCTTTGCCATTTTAGTAAAAACACTAGCAGCAAATTCTGCATAAAAAGTTGGTTTAATAGAAAAGATACTCTTACCTCCAACTTCACCATTTTCTGCTTGAGCTTTAAACTTGGCTCTTACAGTGATAAAAGCTGTATAACTGTTTTTAAAGTGAATTTCTCCAACCTAAAAAGAGAGTAAGGCATATTGTTTTATAAGTATAATTTCATAATAAAGTATTTCTAACACTTGTAAGAGGTTTTTTTTGCTAAATAATCTAATTTTTATCTAATCTAAAGCAACATTTAGACTTACTATTACTGTGTGTCCCAAAATTTCAAAAGTGTTGTTTTTAAAAAAAAAATTTATTGCAAATAGTCATATATTAACCTGTTAATATAAGATAGAACAAATTTTACTGATCTTTTGGGTTTCATTACATTGAAATTATTTATCCTCTTCCACAGCACAAATTATTATTATCGCTTGCCAAAGTAGAAAAAATACTAATGACTCTTAGATAAATCTTTTGAAACATTGATGCATGATAAAGTTGAATTGAGAGTTTTTAAAGTAATGAGATATGAAGGAAAAGAGGATATGGTGTAACAGTTAACAACACAAAATCAGTATGCTCACATGAAAAAAAAAACAAAGGCAAAGGAAAAGCACTCTCCCTTATTGCTATTCTTCATTTCAATGTCATGAGTTCAATTGCATATACATGTATTGCATTATAAACATCACAAAAATTTGAGTAAAGCTTAGTAATGTGTCTACTTTTCTTCACAATTTTTATATTCAGTTAACATGTAATTGGGACACATAGTAATATACAAAGCAATAAGACCTCAAACACTATTGATCAATGGAATACAGTAGACTTTGTAAAACTAATCTAAAATAAATTCAGAGGAAAAGAAGACATGAATATATTTACAGGATTTTTTTTCATTCTTTAGAAAATTATGAAAATTGATCATAAAAAAATATGGCTACTGCCTAGAATCTCTAACTCTATAAACAGAAAACTAGCTCTGAAATGGGAGGAGCCTGTTTAGAACTGTTTTGTCTCAAACAGGACATGAATAAGTGGGAAACATAACAAAAAATGAAATTTTGTAACCTGTTAACCAAATTCCACAAAATAAATACATCATGCAATCACCACGGCAATTAGTAGTATGATTCATAAACACTTTAATAGCAGATCCAAATTATTAGATTAAATATATTTTGTTTCCGGTATTAGTCAATGTATTATGAATGTACCCTCTACCAATAATAAAACTCCAAACAACAAATATAACACCTCTTTCAACATTTAAAGGAGATTGGAAAATCATCTTATGAAATGACTTAAAATGCTTAAATGTAAAAAAATATGTCAGATAATAGTATGCCTTATTTTTCTTTCTTCAAAATTTTTTCATTCTTAAGCCATATGAAAGAGGAATCACAGAAAAAGTATACTGGATTATTTCTGTCTGCATTATAAACCATGGTCATTAAAAAGCTGTAGACGGTAATAGTAACAATGGTATGCCTTAATGTAGATATTAAAATGATACAAAATATAGATCTAGAAAAGAAAAAATTGTCACATAACAGCTAATTTGCAAAGGGATCTTATTTTGAGTCTTGAAAAATTATATTGAAAAATAAACCAATGGAGAGATAAAAGAATAATTTGATTACATTGCTTATTTAAAAGTTTTCCACACTACCAACGGGCCAAATTGTTTTTCGAGTTGTCGTTTTGATCAAATGGGGGAAAAAATCAGCTCATAGCTATTGAAAGGTTAGTACACTATTAAGTTATCACTGGAAATGGATGGTCAGAACATTTTGGTCTTGAAGAAAATCAACCATAAATAACTCAAACAATACAGCAATTGTGAGTTTATGATAGCATATTTCTACCTTCTACTTGTCAGATCTACACAAGTATCTGACAAGTCAACACTAATAACTCACAACGTCACTTCTGTCAACTTCATGTTGACTTATCAGATATTTAAGTTGACTTGTCAAATATTTCAGTTGACTTGTCAGATATTTAAGTCAACATATCAGATAATTATCAGACAAGTCCAAGACTGAAATATGCCCCCATTAGATTTACTGTAGAATAATAATCTCCAATTTAATTATATAAATTCTCCTTCATTTTTTCGTTCAGTTTCAAGTAGCATTTAGTGGCATGATTATTCAGCAGAAATATTTAAAAAAAAAAGGTTTCTCATATGAAAATGAAATAGCACTTGCTCTATTTTGAAATGTATGAATATAAAGCTCAAGTGAGTCATGCATAAAGTAATGGAAAATTATAAGCTTGCAATGAAATTATAATTCAAATCCTGTTCTCTCGAAAATGGCTATTAGTAAGATACTATTCAAAATTTAAAATGCTTTACATAAAATCACACAAGTATAGAACATAAATGAAAAGCATTCTTATAAAACTTTCAATTGACCTTGCTATACATGCATAAAAAAATACATATAAAAAATATCAAAATGAAAATATAGAAATCCTTGTTTATTCTTACTGATGGAGCTGATAATAAAACAATGTTCCTTCAAGTCTTTCTTTTTGGCTTAATTGACTTACCAATAAAGGTTACAACTTTACTGTTTGTGACCTTGCTATATGTAATGTACAGCAAGAGGCTTCTATAAAAGAGCCTAAATTGCTCTGTCAAAATTTATTTTGAATTGCTATTCATTTTTGCTGTTGACAGTTTCTACCTCTCAATAATAATTTTTTTGAGAAAATAGGCAAAAACTAGAAAATCAGTAAAACATTGTCATAAAGGGCAGTAACTCTTAAAAAGAGTCATCAAATGTTTTCCATCATACTCAGTCTGGCATTTTATAGCTATTGCATTGATTTGCTGATCATTTTTACAGTTTACTATTACTACCATATATTATAATTTTTGAAATAATAAGTAAAATTATAAAATTAGTCAAAAATTGTCATTTAAGGCCAACAACCCCTATAAGGAGCCATCCAATGGTTTTGGTCGTATTGGCATTTTTGTAGATCTTGTATTGCTGATTATTTTTGCTGTATACTGTTTCTACTTATCTTTTATATTTTACAACATTAAAAGAAATAAAAGAGGAATTGCCCCCGCTCAAGCTTTGCAATTTTCCAAGTTAAAAAGGAGCATAACTCTAGAACAGTATATGACTCGCAACCCAAATTTGATCACTGTCTGCATTTTTGTGGTTCTTAGCATTGTGTATGAGTTTCATAAAATTTGAATAAGACAAATTTTAAGTTAGAGTGCGGAAACAAAAAAAATATTTGCAATTTTCCAAGTTATAAAGGGGCATAACTCTAGAACGGTAAGTGACTTACTGCCCAAATTCAAACTCTGTCTACAAGTTTTGGTTCTTAGCATTGTCTATGAGTTTATAAAATTTGCATGAGGCAAACTTAAGTCAGAGTGAGGTACCAAAAATGGGACGGATGGAAGGATGGACGGATGGACAGACCGTCAAGGGTAACACTTAATGCCCCCATTGCCTACGGAGGCATAAAATTTCACAAATTAGTCAAAAATCATAATTTAAGGGCAATCACTCCTATAGAGTCATTCAAAGGTTTTGGTCATATAAATTTCTGTTGATCTTTCATTGCTGATCATTTATGCTGTTTACAATATCTACACATATAAGCTTGATAACACCTCCTCACACATGGTCCCATGCTGCATGGTCATCAAGTTTAAAATATCATATCAAAGGCAGTATAAAATAAAACTTCAATTGTTTTGATTGGTCAACAAAAAAAACATATTTCAAACTTTCGAAATTCCAATACAAAAAACTTTGGTAAGTAAAATAGCAATTCAGCCACACATATTATGTATAATCAGCAACGGCAATTGTTGAAAGAGGTGACATAAGGCTTGGTTGCAAATTTGTGAGAAAAAATAACATCAATATACAAAATAATGGTTATCTGCAAAAAAATTCCACATATAACGTGAGATGCACAATTTACCCTTTCACATATTGAAACAGAAATTGGATTGCTACTCTGAAATATAAAACAACATATAAATCATTTAACAATATGTAGAAAGATTCTAATATTCATTTATTTTCCTTTGATTTATATATATACACATGTATCTACAATTGTACAAGCAAAGCACCATAAATTGATTCATGATTTTCCCTTATACTAACCTAAATAAACATTTTTATTATATTGCTTGACATCTTGGTTCAATTACTGGTATATATAATGTTTACTTTGTTTGCAAGTACTACTACAATTTCAATTCTGTATTTGGAGAGAAAAATTGTTTTCCATTAATTTCAATGTCAGAATAGATGTGATGTCATAGACCAAAAGTATTTTTTCTAGCTAAAGTCATTAGGTCATAGTCCAAAATTGAGGTAAATGTACATTTAAATGAAAGGAAAGTGCTGGAAATCTAAATTGGTATATTGGCACATCAATGTGTTAGCTTTCAAAAATGAAAAAACTTTGCATCTGGTCCATGAAAACTTTTCATTTTGATCTGTTTTCACACTGGTCTTACTATAGTGCTGGGTTTACCACTAAATCTATACATAAAAGTCAAAAGGACTAAATCTGTTAGAAATTGAATAGGTCTGTAATAAAGTAAGCAGTCCTTTTACTAGTAATAGTGATGGACAAAAATTAAGTGTATTTTTGGTCCAGTCATGGAAGTACATGTACATCTTTAAATGTTTAAAAAGAAAATTCCATTTGCCTCCTGCAAATGAAATCACCATATTTATAAACTTCAATAATAAACATTCCTGTGGAAAATTAGTTTAGGGGTCAGAAGAAGTTAAAAAAAAAGAGCCTGTGTTGCTCACATGCATCTTTAAAAATGACCATTTTATTGTAAAAAAACTGACAATTTTAGTCATGTTGACTTATTTGTAGAAATTGTCCTGCTGATATGAAGTTTCTATCTATCTATCATAGTTTCAACATTATAGGCAAAAAACACACAAAATTGGTAAAAATCACCATTTACGGGTCATGACTCCTACATGCATAAAGAGTCAACTGACAATGTCAGTAATTTGACTTATTTGCAATCTAAAGTTTTTTATCTGTTTATTATAATTTTCAAGATAATAGACAAAAATTCAAAAAAAATGTTAAAAATTGTCATAAAAGGGCAATAACTCCAATAAGGAGTTGTCTGACAGTTTTGATGTATGTGAACAGTAGGTAAACTTTAATATACTGAACATTTGAGCTTTATCAGATTTTCCTTATTTAGAGTGGTCTTCAAGAAAATAGACAAAACTTGCATTTTACCCCTATGTTCTATTTTTAGTCATGTTGGCCTTGTTGGTTGACATGCATGATCATGGTCACATTTTTTAAACTAGATACCCTATTGATGATTGTGGCCAAGTTGGGTTAAATTTGGCCCTAATCAAAATATTCAAAACCCTAACAGTGACATTTTAAGTTTAAGTTAAAACAAAAATGTGTCCATAGTTAAGTACATGGATGCCCCACTTGCACTATCATTTTCTATGTTCAGTGGACCGTGAAATTGTGGTCAAAACTTTAATTTGGCATTAAAATTAGAAAAATCATTTCATAGGGAACATGTGTACTAAGTTTCAAGTTGATTGGACTTCAACTTCATCAAAAACTACCTTGACCAAAAACTTTAGCCTGAAGCGGGACAGACAGACGGACGCACAAACCAAAAAACATAATGCCCCTAGGTGGGGCATAAAAAAATATTTTTCACTCTGTTTTGTCTTCTTTGTCATGTTTTGATGAAAGTTCTCTGTTTCAGGTGAAAACAAAGCCATTTTAGCCAATTAGGTTCCACATATAAAACCTTAATATATATATATGATTGTTTTCTATACTATTTCAATAAAACAAAACACTATTATATTAAACCTGTTTTAGTCCCACCCTTATGGGTAAATTAATATCTTAATATGTAGGGTGGGACTAAAACAGGATTAATATATGACAGTACTGCCAAGTTTTCATGAAGCAAATGCACGAGATTTGGCCAAAATTGTAAAGATCAAAGAGAAAAAACAATAGATCAAAGGAAAATGCCGCCAAATATGCATGAAAATGCGTGAGACTTGGCAGCACTGATATGAGGGTTGTAATGGGGTACCTTCATGATGAATAACAGTAAAAAATCTTGCCAAAAGACGTTAACGCTAATTTTTTCTTTATGACGATAAAAAAAAATCCACTGATTTTGAGGAATCACGTTAGATTCTTTCCAAAAATAACGGTAACAGATTATATATTCCATACCTCTGACAAATCATGAAAAGGATATTTTGACAAATCACGATAAAATTTTAACCAGTTTGACGCATCCTGGTTTAGTTCCACCTGGGACTAAACCAGGATATTGTCCTTGTAATTAGCACCATGAAGGATGCCAAAGGTTTTTCCCATATAAGATGAAGTGAATAATCTTATACTACTTAAGGGGTAATTTCATATACAGTCAATGAGTTATCCTGTACAATGTTAAAATTCCCATACCTCTGGGTTTGAAATATTTGGAAAGTTTATATCGATAACTCGGCATCCTGAATGAAACTCAGTCTTTCCATCACTAATTGTTAAGATAACTGGATTCTTTATATGCGAATGGAGAGGTCTATCTGTCATTTTTCAAACTATAACATTGTCTTTCTGTAGTGTTGGGGCCCGTACGCGTAGTGTTGTCAATGAAGCTGTAAGGAAAGATATCCAATGACCGTAAAACAAAATGCAACGACCAAATCAAATTACATTAAATAAAATCTCATTTTTTTCAACAATATCAATGTTTTTTTACTTTCAAAAATATATAACGTATTTCACATACTGATTCAATATCCCCACACATATATCAAACAGGGATATAAAGTCAGATATGTCGATACGTTCTCTTTCTGGTTATAAGCTGCTGGAAGCAAGGCAAAGTCGCCCAACTGCCAAATCGCCCCACTTTTTCACCAACTCTCCCCACTTTCTCAAAAATCGCCCCACTCTTGTTTACCAAGTTTTATAAGGGGGTCGAGTTGGTAGTCATTAATGCAGTAAGATTTCATTCTCTTTTTTTTCATAAGTAGGGTGAGTTGGCAGAACTCAATTCCTCTGGATGTTGCTATTTTTCATAAGTGGGGCTGTCATAATATAAGTTCCAAATGGAAACAATATTTTGGAATATTATTTCCACTGGAATAAACATTACAGTAAATGTTCCTGACGTAATAAATGGTATAGAATATTTGTTCCAACAGGAACAGATATTATGACATTGTTTATAACAGTTTCCAGTGGAACTTCTGTTAGGCGGAACAAATATACGTTGACACAGAGAGTTGGCAGACCTATATTCAACGGGATCTTACCATTCCATAAGAGGGGCCAGTGAGCAGACCTATATTCAACGGGATTTTACCCTTTTTTCAAAAGTGGGGCGAGTTGGTAAACAAGACGGGCGATTTTTTTAGAAAGTGGGGCGAGTTGGTGAAAAAGTGGGGCGATTTGGCAGTGGGGCGACTGGTGGATTCCAGCAGCTGATTTATCCTTGACCTCAGCCCTTTGAACAAAGTTGTTTATTATTCCGGATGCAAATAAAATAGTCCATAACTAATGTAAATTTTTGAAAGAAGAGTTACTGATTAAAAGTTGATTTTATTGCGAAAGACAAATACGAGACTGATACAAATTTACCCACAGTTCCGTTTACCAGAAGGCGTGACAAAGGGCAAGATGGCTGATTACGGCGAACCTATCTCCGACCAGGATAAGGTAATATGCTCTAGTTTTATTGAACTACAATGTATGCGTTAGTTTATTTTAATTCTTCTTAAAAGATGACTTATATAAAGTCGATCAATGGACAGAAAGGTATAACTGCATCGTGACATTAGGCAGCAGCATTATTTATGGTATTTCCGATGACTTCCGCTTTCTCCTGTTGACTTGTCATTTTGAATAAATCGTTTATTTGGCATTAGGAAATGTTTTAATTATTTTCTAATGTTTCCCAAGAAACTTTATTATTCATTTTGGTTATAACTGCTTGGTTCTCGTTTAGTTTAACAATGCATTATTTATTCTTTAAAAAACAAAATGACAAGGAAATAAACAAAAAAGTTATATATTTAATAATAATAATGGTTGAAACACACATAAAAAAAGTGTTTTTGGTTAATTATGTTTGATTTGATCTGTGGTTAACATAGATCATTTTGATACTTAATGCAAATAATTTTATTTTTATTAGATGACAAATGAGTCATTGCTGAAATCCATTTTAAGAAATGCCCATATTTGGAATTAACAGTGAATATTGTAAATTCAGAAACTATTGCAATGTTTTTATTAATGCGAAAAATGTGCCAGTAACAGATTTGCCATAATGAAAACTGGCATTCATAATATCAGTAGTAATTTTCCTTCTCAATATTTTTGTAATTGCATTATTAGATTTTGCATTTTTGATCAGTAATCAGTGATTCACAATAATAAATGCTCGCAATAATAGTGTTTCCTGCAGAAGGTATTGGCGTGATGTGGCGCCCTGCTGTGTTTTCTTGACGCCCTGCCCTTTTAAGGAACAAAATGACCCTTTTCCGTCGTATTTTAGAATGCTCCACTGTAATTTAATATTGGTTCTGCAAGTCATCTTTTAGCAAGACCAAATTTGAGTTATTTCCCTTGGAACGAAATCAAAATTTTAATGGCTGACATTTTATTGAATTTTGTAATTATGTTTAAACAGTTATGAAGCGACAGCGTACAAAAACGATTCATGATTGAATCTAATAGGGACAACATCGAATTTGTACCTCAACGAATTTAAAATATAGACATTTTAAAAGGGAACCAGGCGATCATTTGAGTTAAAATTTTACGATGCATGGGATGAAAATTACCACTGATTACGTAAACAATCTGATGTTTGTTTATATTTTCTATTTATACTATTGGGTCAGTCAAGACGTCGGAATTTGGATGTGAGCAGTGTTCTCCCCAGGATTTTTGGATAGCACCAGGGTAACGCGTGTGGACTGCTTGGTGAAATGATTCATACAATCAGTTGTGTCGCGTCGCTTAGCTATATTTCTAGTTACTGTAGATTTTATGTCTCCTGTTTTGTTTTAATGTTGTGGTACTGTGTTATGTGCACATTGAAAATTATTGGTAAAAAAGAAGTACATCAATAAACAGTTTGACATGTATACTTTAATATTTTTTAAAAATAAATAAAACATGATACATTACAAAATATTCATCTAAATTTAAAGTTATTTTAAAAATCTTTTATAAAATCAATGATCAATAAGAATAAAATATCATTCAAAAGCGAACAAAAATGTTCAATTTAAAAAACTTTCTTATTTCTAGAATGAAAGATGTTGTATTGTGAAAGGATTCCTGTCATAAGGAGATATAAAATTAACAAGAATAAATATTGTATTATTATTTGAACCAGTTTCTATCTTAAATTTTAATAAAAAGAAATTTTTCATAAATTTCAAAACATTTTTCCTTAGATTTCATGTTAATATTAACTTTTCTTGCCTTTAGTGATAATCAAACATAGATACAGACTTAATTCTGCACTAAAATCTAAATCTTTTTTTGTCATGATCCATTTAAAAAGAATTCCTAAATCTATAAATTTATCCTAGTTATATAGATCTATAAGTAACCCTATTCAATGTCAACAACTGAGTCTCCCTATTTTCCCGCCTAAATGACAGGAAGTAGATATAAATAGATTTAACATGTGCTTATGGATAAAATTTGCAAATCACTTCTGTTAATCATTAATTATCATATGGATATAGATATCCAGTTTGAAGGTACAGTCATGCATTTTATTTATAAAATAGAATAGATTGTAGTTAATTGTAAATAATCTTGGGTATTCTGTGTGAACTAACTGGGCCATGTGATCGTCCCCTTTGAATTACTTGTTGACAGATACTATGATAGTTTGAAACCGGAATATCATGCAATATAAACTATGTCAAAATTAAAGATAATTTGGCCATGGTTTAATCAGAGACACATAATACTATTATATAAGTATTGAGAAGTGTATAATGGTCAATTATACGTAATGAGCCAACTTTATAATGTACAAAATGTGTACCGTCGTGTGTACAACTATCGGTTTGTGTACAAAGTATTTGCCGACTTGTCAGGTGGTGAGTGAAGCCATAAAATAGTTATCTACGATCATAAAGCTATGATCTCTTAATTAAAACACAAAGGAATCATTTTACAAGTGTTAATGACATCGATTAAATCCAATCAACAAAGGTTAACCTCATAAAGGTAAATCAATCACGTGGTGCACGTGTAAACAATACGAACTGGTTTGAACTGGTCAAATTTCACCTGGAATTTTATACCGCACGGAAAAGATTTAACAAGTCGTTTAAAACTTTACCGATTTTTGATTTTTTAACTAAAAATTTAGCACCACGGAGAAATATAATACATCGCGGTAAGAACGATACCACCACGGTTAAAAAATATACATCGCGGGCCCGCGGTCCTTTAAGGCCCTGGGGAGAACACTGTGTGAGTTTACGACAACTTTCATACTGTTGTTATCTTAATAAAATTAAAGTTAAGAATATAGTTTTGAATAGTACGAAAAATCAACAACGTTTCAATAAAAAAAGAAAACACAAAAAAACACATGGAAAAAAGATGAAAAGCAGAAGAATATGTATAGTAAGTGTTGCTATACAAATCTTTGAATATCATAAAACTATTTGTACAGTTATGAGCCAAGGTAGCTTTGATTGGTATGAACATGCGAGATCCAAAAGGTATTAAGCACTTCTTTTGTGCATCTAAAATGCAATGCATTGCATATGCTCTTGGTCATGCAAAGTCCACTTTCACAACACATCATAAGACAATCAGTCTCAGTGATCCAGTATTAAAGTTTATAACTGGAGTTATTGATTGAAATGAGGCAGTTTCACAATGAACATGATCAAGATTCTATTAGCTGAGTCTAGAAGTGATAATTTTATTACCAAAAGGAAGTAAATTAACAACCTAATAGAAATATACATATCTTTATTTCTTACCAATAACTATGAAACAATGGTATATTCGATTAAATCCCTATCCATTACAGTGCCTTTATATCTATGTAAAGAGTGCCCTAAAAGTGTAGTCCTCCGTGCAAAGGGTGCCCTTAAAATGTAGCCAATCGTGCTAAGAGTGCCCTCTGAGAAAAAAATAACCCTGCCCTTTTCAAAAGCTGCAGGAAACACTACAATAATTTTAGAATCTTCATTAGTTTGCATATACTTTACACCTGACAACTTTTTTGAGCTACAAAGTAGGAGATATCCCTCTTTCCAGCTCAAGTTTCTCAGCTTTCAAGTGGGGGATTATGTGCAACAATCTTTTTTTCTACCAAGATTTTGTAAGAAGATAAAAAGTACTTCAATATTTCAGCCCAAACTTATAAAATTTGATTATATATTCACAGATTCAATTAGTTAACAACATTCTTGATGACCTAGGATATCTGTTTACTCTGTTATTAAGCATTGTTTATGAGTATAAATCAAACACAGAAAATATTATCAAAACAGCTGAAATGATGATTGGTGTAAAAAAAACAAGGGAGATTTTGACCTCTCTCGCAGGCTACAGGTTTGGTCTGAGTAATAAGAGACTGACAAGATGCGTTAAGAAGCATCAAGAAGAAAAAGTATTACTTAGTGACAAGAAGACTAGTTTAGCCACAAGATGATAGATTAAGCATTTAGAAAGTTTAAATACATGTACTATTAAAACAAATAGTTTTATAGAAAAAGTCAATAAATTATAGAAAATTAATTAACATGATTAAAGATTGAAGATAACACTACACTTAAAAACGCATTCTATGTGTGCCTATATAAGCTCATCAAATAATGGGGGGTAGTGTGACCTGTTTATAATGTTAATGTAATATTCATATATGTACTTCTAATAATGTTTGTTAAATAAAATGACAAAAGCTGATATTTTCTACCATTTAATTATATGTTTAAAAACAAATTCATGAGAAAAATTGGATTTTTGTTTTATTTTTGAATGAATACTCTTTTAATTAGATTTATTGATTGATTATAATATAATCACGCCAATATCATACCATAATGTTAACTGCACTAAAACATAGCCTAACAAATAAAATTAACTGTATCAATTTTTACTCCCTTCACTCAGATCCACATTTGGACAATTAATGTCTCTTCATCATATGCTAAGTTAATATTCCATCTTTAAGTATATGAAAATTATTTTTATTACTAGCATTAATATCACCCTTGACTGGTAGAACATACAATTTCAAATTGATTATTTGAAGTTTCTACTTTAATGAGGATTTTGTCCTCTAATGAAGGACTGTTTTGGTCAATCTTGGCCATATGCTGGTATATTTTTTAAAGTTGTTTAACAGTGTTTAATAATAATAAATAATACTTTTTTTGTAATTTTGAGATTATTGAGGATTTTTTGGTGGATTTAGTTTCTAGAACATGTAGTATTGATAAATTGGAAAATTGAAAAAGAAGGAAAGCTACTTACTGGCAATTCATTGAATTTAAATTGGTGTATTGTTAAAATTGATTATATAATTTGATTTTTTTTTTCTTTAGGTCAATATAGCCTCTGATTTCATCTTGCATGCACCTCCTGGTGAATTTAATGAAGTTTTTAATGGTAAGTTTTGATTAAGATATTATTTATAAAGAAAAGAAAGCATTACACTTGTATTTAAGGAGATTTTTATTATAACTAAAGCCCTTTGATATAGAATTCAATTGACCTTTTTGATATGCTGAGAGTTTTGGTGCTCCTATAGCTAGCTATAGACACCCTGATTTTCGTAACTGTATCCAGTTTATACTGTTTTAACAAATTCTGCATGAAACGTTAAAAAAAGTCTTAGTAGTAAAAGCCATTCAATTTTGTTATGCAGACTCCAATGCTTATGTGATATTGCTACATGTAAAAACAATGTATACATGTAGTTTAAGGAACTGAAATTAAATCCTGGCAGGAAACATGAACTCAAGTCTTAATTAAGATTGACATATTCATATCATGTATATAATAATTCAATACTTGATATATTATTGTTCTTAATTGTGCATACTTCTTAAATGCTGGAATATAGTAAATTTTATTAGAAATATCAATGGATTTATTTCAGATGTTAGAATTTTACTAAATGACGACAACTTGCTGAAAGAGGGAGCTTCAGGGTATGTGTCATATTTTACACTCTTAACATGTTCATATCTCCATTATATGTACTAACAGTAATAAATTTACATTTATTCATGTATAATATAAAGAATTTTCTCTCTCCTCTTAAATTTATGGTAGTAGTATTGAAAGTCCAGTCATAATTTTCAATTATGATATTCAATGACAATATACATTCAACTGCAATTTCCAGTTTATTCAAGTAAGAAATTAGAGTTTGAAGAAATTACCTTTTAAACTTGTTAATTTAACAACTATTAGACAGATTCTTGCACATAATGAAGTTTTTACTAATCATGGCATAAAAACTGCTAATATAGATAAATTTTATTTATGTATGATCCTGCTCTTTGTAGTTATTGAAATCTTTGATGTCAGAGATTGAAACTCACATCCTGAACCAAAACACATTTGAAATGGAGAGTTACACGAAATGAGATAAATTTTTAACCTTAAAAGACGATTAACTAATTAAAGTTATTTTTTAATATGGCCAGGCTTAGAAATCCAACCTGTCAAAGAAAGATAAATTGTTTGATGATAAAACAGTAGTATATGGGTAACCTCAGATCATCACATAAAATTAGAATGTATTCTATATTGTATTGTCTTTATTTTTGATAGAGCTTTTGCACAGTATAATAAAGATCAATTTACACCATGCAAAATTGAAGGCAATCCAGAAAATGTGAGTAGCAAAAGTTATTGAAAATTTATGTACATGTTGTTTATATTACAGTTCAAATTAAAACAAACAAAAATACTAAGGGCGTCCTTAGTGGTAAAAAAAAAACAAACAATAGACAAACATGACGTGTACATTACACAGAAAAATTAAAATTATGGCACCATGAACCCCACTAAGAACCAGGGCTGAACTGGGGAATAGCACAGAGGCCTAGTTTACAGAAGAAAAGTTTACAGCTTCATTTGTATACAAGTTATAGTCATGATAGTTGTTAGTACATGTATTGATAATTCTGTGCTGATGGTGTAGAGGAATATGTTGTAATATAACAGGATTTGTTTATATGAATAAGGGAAGATCTATGGTATATCTCATTGACACAGCAACCCAACAATACCATCAAAGACATCAAAGACATCAAGATGTTGATCCTTGATCATAGAATGTTTCTATAAATGAATAAACAGACACGTCACAATCAATAACATTCATTAAGGGTTAAATATAACAACAAGTGACAAGGTTCCTGAGTTTATCTCTGTCTGCAATGAGAAAAGGTACAAAAGATAATCAACAATAGAAATCTGACAGTCCAAAAAGTACAAAAAAATAGTATAAACAGTATCAATATTACCATGATTACTATAGCAAAGAATTTTCCCAATTATAAAAAAATAATGATTTAAATCTGGCTAAAAGTATTTATTCTGCTGTTATAGAAACACTCTAATATTAGCTGCAATGTCATAAATGCAAAAACATATTCTTGTGCAATGGCCAAAATATAATTGTGCAGGAAAATTCTTATACTTACATTGTAAAATCATACTTCAACAATTTATTCCAATAAATGCCATGTATGTATGAAAAGATACCGGTAGTTGATTAAATCTTTATCCTTTTTGTAAAAGTTTTTAGTAGTGAAAATATTACGATCATTGAGGTGTCACTGCAAAATAGACCATAGTGAACAGGGACCTGTAGTCTCTGTAAGTAGGAGCCAATATGTATATTACCTTTGAAATGTCTATATTTGTTTTTTGTCAGTATTAATAGTGATCATCTGTTTGGTCCACAAAAAGAATCTTAGCATTTGATATAGCTGCCTGGTGAAATTCCAGTAAGCTTTTTATGTTTTTATTAACACTTCAGGTACTTATAACAGAACATGGAGATTTAGGAGGAAGTAGATTTTTGGACCCAAGAACTAAAAAGTCTTTCAGGTAGTACCTTCAAATAAATCTCATTCAGGGGTCTTTTTATATGCCCGTTTACGGGATGTATTATTTTCAACTGTGCTAAGCAAGTATTTATTAAAGTTTTTTTCACAATTTAAATCTTAATGATCCATATATCTATTCATGCTAATTTTATTTTATATATTTTTATATATAAAAGATGGTGGGTATACATAATTGGGACAGCAACCGATGGGGCAAAAAGAGTCAAAAATCTGGAGGTCAAAACACACCATGCCCCCTAAAAAAACATGACAGATGTACAATGCTGTAAGTTTCACAATTATTAGATGATGAATTTTATATTACTGAAATTGTGTACTTAATAAGAAATATGCATTAAAATAACATGTTTATTTTATGTTTTGACTTTGGAGTTGTGTTTCAAATGCTGTGGATTGAATTTGTTCTACCCTGCTACTGAGTATTTTCCCTCATTTTAAAATACAACTTTTTTCACATTTCAGCAATGCATATTTATACTGTTACAACAACAAAAGACAGATTGTTGCTTATTCTAGCAATCAACACACAATAGGGTCTTAGATTTAAATAATCACACACTCCATAAATCATACATAGATAACAAAACTTAAATTATTTAATTTTTGTTTTTACAGATATGACCATCTGAGAAAAGAAGCCAGTGATTATCAGCCAGGAGATGTTGATAAAAGTGCAGAGAAATGGAGGGCAGCAATAGAGACAGCGTTTACTGAATATCGTTCTAAACATTATAAAAATGGTGTAGTAACATTATATGGTAGTAGTTCTGGAGGAAATATAACAATCATAGCTTGCCTAGAAAGTCATCAGTTCCAACCTAGAAATTTCTGGTAATTTCACATAGAATTTTTAATACTAACTTTAGGTTATTAGTGTTGAGATAAAAGGATCATTACATAGTGTTTCAGCTAGACCCTTTTCACAGGGCACACTGCCCGCCCTTTTTATCTGACTCTCTGTGCCCTATTCAAAGGGATTTCGCCCTGCCCTTATCATTGTGCTCCCCTGAACTTTTGCAGAGCTGATCATCTTCCCATAGGTATTAATTTTTCAATCTCAATGTGTGAACTCCAACAGAAATTTTAATTTTTTTTTTTAAGGTCACAGCCTAAATCTTGTGCAGTTTTGAAAGAATTAATAAGGATTTTTTACAGGGTTTTCGAAACAATTATTGAGTCAGACATTTTTCAATCCCACAGTTATTCCTTTTTACTGAAGTCATACTTTGCAACCACTGGGACACCTAGAGCAAATATTTATAATTAAAAAAAAGTCAATATGTTGATATCTTTTATGCCACTAAGCAGCACACTGATTGAAGTGAAGAATGTCAGTGGAGTTATATTTGTGATATATCTGTCATTATTAGATAAATACAAGCAACACAAAGTCTACTTATATTTCAAAATCTCTTTTTCTTTCATACAGGATGTTCTCTTTTCAGCAATAACAAAAAAATTAATAACACAAAAATTGTCTACATTTTTTGATTATGAAATACAAGTAATTTTTCATTTATTTACAAGGAATGGACGATGGCGATCACAATGGTCAGCTACTTTTCCAGAATCGGGTGGTAAATGTGAACTGACAGGTATCCTCAAAGTACAGGTATGTTTGATACAGTTATATGTTAAACATTTGTAGGCCAGGTTATACTACATAGAAATAATACTGGTAAATAATTGTATAAATGAGAAATTCCAGTATTTAAGACTACATTCCATAAACAACGATATTACAACATTTGCAGGCCAGGGAAAATTTTTCAATAATGAGTACATGTAAAGTAAGCAGTGAGAGAAAACTTAAACTGTAATACTTTGAAACATTCAGAGAGAAATTACCCCTCACATTTAACTTTATTTAAAGAGCATTACAATATTTTATTGTATACTTCATTCTCATTTGAAAAGAACAAAACTGTAAAAATAAAGAAAAATGAAAAAAAGGCATATATATTTGATGAGGATGTTTAATTTCAGGTCCATTATTATGAAGATGGCAATGTACAGTTAGTTAGTTCTAAAGAAGTTAAACAGTCTCTAAATGTTACAGTAAGTTAGTGAATTACAATGAAATCTTTTTTCCCCCAGATAAATCAACTATTGGGGGTTAAAACACATGTAACTATTGACAAAAAATATATCAGAGTAGAAAGTATGTTCATTTTGCCTTTGACAGAATTTTTGAACTTTTAACCTACATCAGTGTTGGTCTTTTAAGTCTTTCAATGAGACAACTTTTCACCAACATTTTTCACCACAGTAGGGGACCGCCTTCAACAATGAGCAAACCCATACTGTATAGTACACTATAACTGGCTTGTCATGATAAAATGTGAAACAATTCAAAGAGAAAACCATCGGGCTGATTTATGCTAATATTGATTAACATAAAAAAATATAGCAAACAGCAACAAATTACAATCACTGAAATACAGGCTCATGACTTGGAACAGGCACATACAGAATATTGTGGGGTTTAATTTGTTTGCTGGTGCCAAACCCTCTTCCTAACCTGGGACATGGTGTAACAGCACAACATACTAGTATGAACAAACTGTAAAAGTCAGTGGGAAAAGGCTACACGTCAGATTGGCTGAATCACACTAAAAATATAACAAAAAGAAGAAAAAAAATACATGATACCAATCTAAGCATTGGTATAGTTACTGAAAGCTAGCAACCAATAGATAAATATATTTTCCCAAGTTGAAATATCAATAAGTTGGTCTCTTTTGATCAATTAAATGGTCAATATAAAAAAGAGGATGTGGTATGACAGCCAATGAGAGAACTCTCCACAAGAGACCAAATGACACAGAAATTAACATCTATAGGTCACCTTACGGTGAATACATACCTTGCTTTTAAATTTTTGGATTTGAGCGATCCTTATGAAGATAAATTCAGAAAAGCACTTAGAAACTGCATCACATTTTTGGAGGGCTATTCTCATTATAGAGAGTGCATACACAACTTCAAGTCTAGTAATTTTGGTAATAGTCTTCATTATTTGTAGAACTACAGCATTCTGGACTATATAGTACTTCCAATAGGCTTCATAGCCAATTAAAGGCATTTGACAAATAAAATTATGCTAAATGCAAGATTTCTTTATATTTTTCAGTCAGAACAACAAACAGCAAAAGAATTTGTAAATATTATATCAGAAGCTGAAAAAGAATATCTGGTTAGTCAAATGTGTTACATTTGGTACCATGTGGAAAAATAAAGAAAAAAACAAATACCACAGCACTAGTCTTTTCATTCAAAGATTGCTCAGTCAATATACATAGTGCTTAGGTCAATCTTTATTTATAGTTTAAAGACTTTTTAATTGACGTATAAATTTTGAGACAAATTAGTTTTATTCCACAGTCTTATAGTTTATGTTTTAAATGATATATAAAATATATTATTTTTGGTTGTATTGGTGCCAAAAAAAATATCGTTCTCTGTGAAAATTGAAAACTGATCATGTTCTTATGATATCAGATATCACTACAATGTACCAAATAGTTGTTACTGAAAGCCACAGGCACAGAGTTGTGACTACACTCCCCCAGGTAAACCTGGAAACAAAACTTATCATTTGCTGTTTGTGAATTGATTTATATCAAAAGTGTGACTACACTCCCACATGGAATCCTGAAAACACAATGCTTCCTCATTTGTTCTTGTGAATTGATAATCAAATAAAATAAAGAAAGTAACAAAATTCATAAATATTTCATAAAACTTAATGTCAAGAACAATATATTGCGGAGTTTGTTGAACAAGCTGAGAAAGATATATATTGATGAATTGCTATTGGCATTTTCAAGAATGAATTACATATAATTCATATAAAAAAAGTGTTGTTCAATTAGTACTTTAAATTATCTTTTGATGTGTAAACTTCTAATATAATTTCATATTTGTAATGATGTGATTGTTTTTGTTTTTAGATGGCAATAAATGAAAATTACCAGACTATGTCAGACACAACATTCAAAGCTCTTAGACGTCAACTGCCTGTGACAAGAACAAAAGTGGACTGGAACAAAATAATGAGTTATTCTGTAGGACAACAGCTAAGCCAAGGGAAAAAATAGCGAACAATTTTATATTTATTAATATATGGCTTTAGAATGGACAAGAATGATAAACTTTTGTATTGCAAGTACAAGTTCTTGAAAGTTATTGGTGCGTCATTCATGACTAACAAGTCGTGTAACATAATAATAGCAAATACATTGATTCACGAATAATATAAATACATTAAATCAGCAAAATATCTTTATTGATAAAACAAGCGTTTCTTGTGTCTATGAGATATAAGTATAATTTATGTTTCGTATTGGGTATCAGTTTACTGAGCTGTATGTAAGTTATAAATGTATAATCCCACTAAATATCTATATTCAACTCAAGGATTCACTAAAGTTTATATAGAGACCAATGATTATGCTTCATAAGTGATATTTAAGATTTGTATCAGAGGGGTTACAACTTCATGTTAATATCTTTAGCAGCATATTATTTAAGTTATATGGGGGGTAGTTAAATCCATTTTAATGAAATGGTAAACTGTTTGGAGGATTATTATGATATAATGTTGCTAGTCTTCTACATTTTAAATGTCTCATCTTTGAACGACATTATCCAATATTGTCTACAAATTGTGTGTTATCTGACTATTCAACATATTGGTACTTACTTAAAAACATTGATTGAAAAAAAAACTAAACATTATTTTATGGTTCAATATGATATATTTAAGAAAGGTGTTATACCTTATTGAACAACATATGATACTCCTGATTGAGTAGAATATGTCTCCACATCAATGAGTTCAAAGATTGTACTGTCTCCAATAGTATTTCTACATCCAAAAAAGAATAACAATATGGAGAAAAACATGATACACTGTCAGAGATTATATGTTTACTGAAAAGCTATGATGTTTGCAATTTTTGTATTACTACCTTTGTCTCTACAGTGAAAATGAATACACTTTAATTGTAATATATAAATATTCTACACTATTCAATAGGTGCTATCTTGATGGGATGACTACATATACTTACAAAACCTACAATTTTTCACATTCCTCAGAAAAAAAAACATGTTACTGATGAATGCTTATTCAATGTACAAAATAAAATTATTTATTTTCTTTGTACTTCTTATTATCTATTGATTTATATACTGCACAATATAAAACAGTATTTATTATTTGTTAGTGCATGAGATAATGTAACTGATATGATGTGGAGATGTTTTGATTATGTCATTGTATTATTGTTTGAGAGACCAGCAATTGATTTTATATAAATATATACTCATACATTTGTTCTATTGTCAATTAGTTTTTTTGTCTCGCCTTGACGGAGTCAAAAAGTGAGACATACGTATGCTGTTTCCTGCAGCGGCTTCAACAATGTATTAGTTTGTGATTAGGTCTTGTTTATGGTGAACGACTAGTGGTAGGTCAATGATATTTGGTATGCAGTTGTATTAGCATTGGCACATCTCATTTCCATGGAGATTATTTGGCCCTGACCCCTCAGTCATGGTCTATTGACTTTGAATTTTTTACTTTGTTTACATAAAATTAAGAATGGAAATGGGGAATGTGTCAAAGAGACAACAACCTGACCAAAAAGCAAAAAACAGCCATGCATTAGTTTGTGATTAGGTCAGTTTATGGGGAACCACTAGTGGTAGGTCAATGATATTTGTTATGCAGTTGTATAACATTGGCATATCTCATTTCCATGGAGATTATATGACCCTGACCCCTCAGTCATGGTCTATTGACTTTGAAACTTTTGCTTAGTTTACATGTATTAGTTTGTGATTAGGTCAGTTCAAGGGGAACCTTTAGTGGTAGGCAAATGTTAATTGGTATGCAGTTGTATAAGCATTAGCAAATCTCATTTCCATGGAAAATATTTGACCCTGCCTTCTCAGTCATGGTCTATTGACTTTGAAACTTTTGCATAGTTTACATGTATTAGTTTGTGATTAGATCAGTTTAAGATGAACTGCTAATGTTAAGTAAATCATATTTGGTATGCAAATTTATTGGCATTTGCAAGTCTTGTTTCCATGGAGATTTTATAGCCTACCCCCCTCATCATGGTTAATTGACTGAAAATTGTACATAGTTTACAAGTTAATGTTTGTGTTTAGGTTTGTTTCAAGGGAACAACTTATGATAATTCAATGGTATTTGGTATGCAGTTGTATACACATTGACACATCTCATTTCCATGGAGATTGTTTAGCCATGTACCTTCAGTCATGGTTCATTGACTTTGAATATTTGCATAACTTACAGTTAAAGTATTGCTATTTTAATTTCAACATTTGCATTATCAAAATAACACATTGTCTCACCTTTTTGTTAACAGTTTATTTAAAGATTGTTAGTGTTATTGCTTGCTTGATGAACAGAAAAAGGAGGATAGAGCATTTTCTTGTTCATTTGCATGTGTATGGTAACATTTGTATTTTGGGATAAGCATCATTGAGACAGAAATCTTAACAACACGAGTTAACCTAAACTAATGTATAGAGGTCATATATTATGGATAACAATGAACATGTGCTCACACAAAATAGATGGCTTTAGAAACTGGAATAAAATCAAGAGACAACCATGTATGTGATACCAAGTAGTCAACAGACACAAACATGTTTCAATATTATTTTCAATATATAAAGTTTCTTCATGTGGAATCACAAATTTCTTCATGTGGAATCACAAATTTGAACCTGTCTTTGACTGAAAGATCAAAATATTTAGCACTTGGCAAAGCTGTCCAAGAGAAAAATCTTGAATCATCACATGTTTATGACAGTATGTCCAAAATAAGGTGACCTTTTATTGTGCCACATGTTATATGTTCCAATCAATCTTTAGTCTTTTGGTGCATGTAGTAAATTAGCTTTCCTATTTTATATGTGAATGATTGTGAATGATTGGTTCAGTCTTTGTATACCAGACATAAGGAACAGGCAATTTTTTCAATGGAGATATGTTCAGTAGAAATAAAGGTTTGTTAAAAAAGGTCACCTTGACCTACATTTTACAGAAATTTAATAAAAAAAAATTTTGACAACCCTGCATACCATCGGTATCCACTTAACAGAACTCTACCAACACAAGCTTTAGAAGGCATTGGTTCAGCAGTTCTTTATTTTACCGAAATATCTAAATCAAGGATAATGTATTATTTTGATTTAAAATAAGATGTTGTATGATTGCTAAAAATTTAAACTATTCGCCAGATCCGAAGGATGTAGATCTAAACAACTATAGGTCACTGTACGGACTTCAACAATGAACAAAATCCATACAATATATATACTAGTACTAAGCTATAAAAGGCCCTGACGTGACAAAATGTAAAATAATTCAGACAAGAAAACTAAAAGCTTGATTTATGTACACCACAAATACGATAGACCGCAACCAGCATTAACCACTGAACTACAGACTCTTGATTTGGGACAGGCATATACAGAATGTGGCTTGGTTAAGCATGCTTGTGGGCACTCAACCCTCCCCAAACTGGGAAGTGGTGTAGCAGCACAACTAAAGAACAAACAGTAAAAATCAGACAAAAAAGGCCGGACTCATCAGATCAACACAAAGCATGAAAAGAAACACTAACAAAAAGACTTAAAGACACAAAGTACTGATCAAAGATTACTCTTGCCTGTTGTCAGGTACTAATTGATAAACTTTTTTGTATGTAATTATGTGTGAAGGTGCACTTTTAAAGGGGCAATAGCTACGAGATTTAAAAAAGATCAAAATATCATTTTTTTTTTGTTCAATCATTAATGGAAGTGAAATAGTGAAATAATAATTTGCTTTTAGCAGCCACTTTGTTTCAATTTTGTCAAAATAAGCTAAGAAACATCGCTGATAAATTATTCACTTGCAAGTGAATAATTCAACCTCATTGAACCCATATTCATGTGACCTTTAATTCAACCCTTTAGCTAGAGATGGGTTACGCATAAACTAGGCGTGTTCAGTCATTAAAGGGAAAATAATAACATTGAAAGTGAAACAAGGGTAAACCATTCGGTTGACTGATTCGATCCACAAAAGCTCATTCTTATACAGGTAAAAACGATGATTAACATATTTTCTTAACCTATAATATGAAATCAAACATACCTAGAAAAATTAAATTGCACGTGTTCACTATCTATTTATATCTATATTGAAGTTAATATCGGGTTATATGACCGTCGGCAGGCCTCAATGGTTAATTAGATGGCGTCTAGATTAAAATGCACACAAAATGCTGATACATATTATCGAGTCCATGCATCGTAAATTGTTTATTTTAGAATTTGTATAATTTGGATATACGTTTTAGTATGTTATAATCAAATATGAGAATTTGAGTCAAATCGGTCAACATGAATTTGACAGCTAATGCCCCTTTAAGAAAATAATAATGTGACATCAAGTCAGGTCACATTGCCATATTTGATTGTTCTACAGGCTTGACCTTAAAGTTCTATGCAAAAAAACCTGTTTAAGTTAGTCATGATGACCCAATTTTTTCATACTTTGCCTAAAATGTAGTTCATATTGAGCTGTGTTCCAAAATATAATAAAGTTTTAGGTCACAGAGCTGGGTTTTTTTTCAAGCTAAAGGTTGTTAAGAATTGACACATAAGGGAGGAATCATTATTATGTGACAAAAAGAAATCTAGATGACATATTATTCGAATAAATTATGAGAAGATACCAGATATAATGGGCACACAGACTCGCAGTACTATTTTTCTTGCCACCATAATACAAAATAAAAGAAAATAGTGTATCTTTCTTTATAAAATTAAAGTATCTTAGTTATCTCTCCTTATAGGGCTATGTTTAAAAAAAAAATCAATCACAAAATATTCTGAATTTATATAAAAACAGTCATAATAAAAAGATAAACACATTATTTGCATTCCTGTCCCAAAATTTGCTTATTTTATTAAAAATCTAGGCATAATTTTCAGCTGTTATGCAATCAAAGATAGTGAAAAACCTTATACCTTTTTAAGAGAAAAAATGACCTTCAATCATAAAACTTTTAGTAAGGATGTTTCTAGGAAAGTACTTCAGCCCATCACTGAAATTCGGTTTACTCGCAATTAATGACAAGAGTTAAGTTCCTTTCTCAGAATATTAAGTGTCTTGCCTTTGTATCACTTGATTTAGGATGCATCTCCAAGTGTACAATAACTTCCCTCTAATAATTGATCACTGACTTACAATTTAAGCTTCATTGTTTGTTAGGTTTTACAAATTGTCCAGTTCTAAGATATATACTGAACAATTATCATGTAACTCGGTTTGGGTATACAAGCCTTAGAGCCTACATGCAAAAAAGGTCACTAATTGACATATTTTCTGCTAAAATGATATAATTTCAGTGTTATGATGGAGCACACTTATCTGATGCTGAGAGTCCTGCAATATTGAAACTTAGTGTAGAGAGTGATATATGGGAGCATTAAAACCTCCCACAAAAAGTGGATGATGCAGAAAAAGTGACCAGATCCATGTAAACAAATATTCAATAGGGATACAGCATTATTTCTTTTGCATATTGACCCCCTTTTAACATTCAAGTATAGAGAATTTAAAATAAAAGCTTGTATAATAATATTTTTGCATAAGATGTTTACAAAGGAAGGCCTATACAGTGTGGTTACTCCAGGAATACATTACACCTTAATTTCTCAAGTCCACGTACGAAGAGTAATTTAGCAAATGCCAGCTTGAGAAAAGTAGGTGATCTTTTCTATGATTTTTATAACTGAAAAATATGCTACCTGTTGGGGTCACATTATTTCGTTTTTACATTTTTTAAAATTTTTTTTATTTGGAGAGGGGAGGGGGGTGGTCATTCTAATAGTGGTGCAAGCATAAAGTCCTTTATGATTCTGTAACAGGAACTAAATTTTAAAACATGCCACTTTTATACTTGTAATCTTGAGTGGAGAAAATAAGTGGTGTCACAAATTTTACACAAATGTGACTTAATATTTGAATTAGGCAGAGAGCCTTTTTATCATGACCATTTGCTAACACACTGTGGGCTGCAATCATCTCCTATTTGTAACAATATATAGATTCAGCATCTGGTAGGAAAATATTTCTAATATAAAGCTGATACATAATACAACTGTTGTATTATTTGTCTCTGTGTAAAGCCATTGCTCATATCTTTTAGCGAGACTTTATGACCTATATCGAAGGACAGCCTTCTCTTAAATGCACTAAGCTTGAGACCCCAGAGAAATATTATTGTTTTACCATTA